TTTGACTGTGTGGATCATAACAAACTGTGGCTGACTCTGAGAAGAATGGGAATCCCAGAATATTTAATCATGCTAATGCGAAACCTATACTTGGACCAGGAGGCAGTCGTTATAACAGAGCAGGGTAACACCGCATGGTTCAAAATTGGGAAGGGTGTACGCCTGGGATGTGTCCTATCTCCATACCTTTTCAACCTGTATGCAGAGCAGATCATCCGAGAGGCTGGGCTCTATGAGGAGAAGTGTGGTGTCAGGATTGGTGGAAGATCTATTAACAATCTGCGTTATGCAGATGCCACAACCCTGCTTGCCGAAACTGAGGAGGATCACAATTAGTGAACCAATCTGCTGTCACTGTAGACTAACGTATTTTCTAGAGTTTTAAGTAAATGGACTCTTTTCTGGTTGCTTTTCATTTTGCTTTTTTTTAGTTTACAAAGCATATTGTTTCCTCATACAATTATTCGAGAACACACACTTGGTTTTGGAATATTAATTAAAATGTATTTCATTATAATGACTATTTATTCTATATTACTTTCTCCTTCATTCAACTTATTTGTTCATTTTTACTCTTTGTTTTACTATCCCTAGTAACCATTCAAGAATGATTTTATGTACAAATGTTTCCTTAGCTCTCATAACAGAAGTCTTTAACCATAATAGTCTTTTTGTGACTGATATCTTTTGCTTAGCATAATGTGCTCTACATGCATTCATGTTAAACACTATCATGTATTCTTTACTGTTTTTTCGTTTTGCATAGTATTCCATTGTGTGAGTGTGCCATAGTTTCTTTATACAGGAATCCTTGGAGGGACTCGAGTTGTTTCCATCTCTTTGCAATGAATATTAGTGTGTGTAACTCTGTGTGGGAGCTTTTCTTTCATTGGGATAGACACCTAATAGTGGGACTGTTGAATCAAATAGTATATCTTTCCAAAATTCTAAGGAAAGTAAAGTGCCAAATTACTTTGCAGACTGGTTGCCCTATTTTTCATTCCCACCAACAGTGTATGAGACTTCCAGTTGCTCCATACTTCCACCAGAATTTGTTGTTTGATGTCTTATTGAACTGCAATCCCAAAGGCACATGTTTTAATCCACTGGCTATTCCATGGTAGGATGGGCAATCTCCTCCCATGCAATTAACTGCACTCAGTCTTAATCCACGAGCTGCTCTGCAGAGCAATCTCCTATGCTCTAAAAACCTGCTGGAGGGTCAGCTATGTATTGTTTTTTACTTAACAGCACATAAAAACAATAGGCAACAAGTAAGTTCTAGTGGCCCCAA